TTATTCTCGAGTAACCATATTTGTTGCACGACCTTGTCTGCAATTGTGACCCCGACCACGACCTCCATTGGAGTTAGAGCTCAGTTTCACCAATTTTGCTCATACAGGTGCTATGATGACTCCTAGACCTCTTACCCTACACCTACCTCTACCTCGACCCTAGCCGTGCTAACAACTAGAAGTAGGGTTTATAAGAGTCTTAGTACTTCTCCGAGTGCAGCAACTTAGGCTCCAAGGGGAATATCTTCCCGCTCTAGTGTTACCTTAGTAAGCCTCCATGATATCCTTGAGGACATGATGCCTACTAGTAAGATATGTTCTAAATTAGTCATTAGGTTACCTCGCGATCCTTCCGTCTAAGCTTAAGTGTTTACGGAAACACCTAATCTGCTTAAACAACGCTTTGATACCATTTGTAACGCCCCAAATTTAAAATATAAATATAACTTAACATAGTCCCAAAACTTCCAAAAATCAAGATTCAAATACTAATGTAATTATTAATAATAATAGCGGAAGCAAATAGAAATTTAATTAAACACTTGATGTGCTACGTCTTCCTCAAAACTTGTCGCCTTCTTCAAGTCTGAACTTTATCCTTTCCATTCCCGCTGCCACTTGCTACGTTATTTCCTGGGTTGCGTGCATTTAAAGATTCTAATGGGTAAGCCTAGGGCCTAGTGAGTTCGTGGTTTTCATGCATATTGACGTCAATAAAATAAAAATAATGCAACAATTTATCAATATAAATCTTTTCATTTCTTTCCACCCTTGATGACATATTAGGGAACTACTGTCATTTCCAGGGAACGAGTCCCTCCGCCGGGCACAACAAATATGCTTACGGCTAGATAAACAGAGCGTAAGCTCTCCGCCGCGTACTAACATCCTGTACGACGACTAATAATAAGACCGTGTAAATACACCTGTTCCCTATATGTCACCCACCATTTTCACCCTTTTATATGAAATAATTCACAAAATTTCACACACATATTCATAGCAATAACAACGGTAACATATAATTGCAAATAATTTAGAATCAACTTTTCATGCAAGCAACCACAAAATTCACACGAAACTCACCTCGTTGGCGTTAGGTCTTAACCAAAGCTTGTCACGCTACACGCTCCCTACATTTAACCAACATATTTCTAAGGCAACAATCCTAGAAAAACATCCTATGCGATCATTTTGGTTCCGATATCCACATATCTTGTTCGACCCACCAATAGTTATTTACTAACATATTTACGACATTTGTAAAATCTTACTTAAATATATGCCAACATTGCATAAATCGGATATCTAAACATATGATGTCATATTTTAATTTAATTTGCTAAACTAATAGAATTTCACTCTCAGAAGAACATATAAAATAAATAGATACATAAATAAGTGAATAAAAATAAATAAATAAACTTTCACAGCGTTCAAAAATACGACCATGTGAAGTTGCCGTATTTAACTTTTGAATAAGACCCCAATTCATAAAAAAAATACTTCAGGGACTAAAATTAAAGTTTCATGAACTTAACTTTTCTTTCAACAAATGCGTGCTTATTAAGCACAAGGTTAGATTCAGCAAACCTTTCAAAAGGTAAGGATCATTTGTGTAAATATCTTTTCAAGCAAGTAAAGGAACACCATTCATTTTGCCCAAAAAAAAAAAAACTGAAATAAAAGGAGATGCGCCCAATGATTGATAACACAACCTTGAGTACAATCACCTTCATTGACCAGTAAGCTCCTACTATATTTTGGTTTTAAATTTGTAAATAATTTATTTTAAAACAATGAAAAACAATTCCGCCCACCCAAAAGAAATATACCCGGATAGTCATCTTCTTTACCCGCAAACAAATTTACCTACTGCCATTTCTAGAATATAATGCATCTTCGAAAAAGTATGTAAAATATTTTTTTAAAATTACCACAAAGCATCTCCACCTTTTGTTGGCATATTCCCGTAAAAATTTAGCAATAATTCTATAAACATACGAGTTGCAGGTTTTATTTTCAAAAACTCTATTTTTAGATTTTTGTCAAATTACTATTAGTGTGGGTCGAATCAAGACAACATGTGGAACCAAAATACACCTATCATGCATGTAAATCTATCCAAACAACAATATCAAACTTAAATCACGTAACTTTACCTCAATTTCAAGAACCACTCCGAAAATCTTCAAGAAATTCAACACCCGATTTCTCCCTTGATTCTTCGTCTTTTTCACAATTCCAATGGGGTTTCCACTTGATTTTTCATGCTATATATAATGCCTAAGTCTATAACCGGCGAAACCCTTTCATTTGCTCGCATTTAACTAGCCTAATCAAGGTGACGGTTTTGATTATTAAGCCTCATAATTTGTATATAATTAACCTATTAATTGTGAACTAATCCTCTTTCTTTTAAATTGATATAATCAAATTATATATATTACATATATTACATATATTTTTTTGACACAAGTTATTATAGTATCGGGCCAAAAATTATATATATATATATATATATATATATATATATATATATATATATATATATATATACTAGTGGGTATCCGCGCGATGCGATGCGACGATTTGTTTCATTCGGGCCAAAAATTAGTTTTATTTTCGTGTTCGTCAAATCCATTTTTTTCGTTGTATAGTTTCCTTTTTTTGAAAGCGTATCTCTTTGGTTTCTAAAACTTTCTGATTTGAGGAGTAACAGATTCTTTCGAGAACACATATATGGATATCATACACAATTAGCAAGACTTTCTATAAAATGATTTTCTCATACTCGTGTCGTTGAGTAAAGTTGTTCTAGGAAATAGTTTCTTTTGTGAAGTTGGTTTTCTTTCGGCACGAAGCAGATAATACTAAACGTGTATTGTTGTTTTGGTTTAAAAATGAAAATATGTTGTTCTTTTGTTTTAAAATTAAATTTATATTATTGTTTTGGTTTAAAAATATATGCAAACGGGAGGATGGTTGGAATAATGATTTTAAAGATGGTAAAATTCATATTTGATCATGTTTTTTTTATGCGCCCCTAAACCAAATTGTGTACGTAGGTCTGCTTCTCACCACGCCACGTTTCGTTTTGTTGCTGGGTGGTGACAAATTGTCTCTTCCAATGAATGGCTCCCAATCACCCAATGGCCATTAGTTTTCTATCCACATGATATTTTCAGTTAAAATAGAAACACGTTTCATTTTGAAGTAAAAATCAAAATGTAATAATTTCCATTATATATATAAAAATATATTGTTTCAAATAGATATGAAAAGAGCACAAGATTATTTTGGATCCTATTTTGTATTTTTCCTTTTCATGAAATAAAAAAATACAATAATCAAAATAACACATAACACATTATTTAATTATTATAATAATATTTTATTAAAATTTATAGACAAAATTGCAAAAATGGTCCCCGTGGTTTGCATTTTTTCAGGAAAAAAGTCCAAACCACGAGTTTTTTGGTTTTGTGGTCCTTTTGGACTGGTTTGTTTGTGAGAATGGTCCCTATACTTAACACCCGTTAAATTCCATCCGTTAACCCCCTCATGTGCCTTGCACGTGAGGGTATTTCTGTCCTTTTACTTATAGGGACCATTTTTGCATATGGAAAAATAAAACATCCTTTATATATCGTTTTCTTTTCTTTTCCCAGCTTCTTCCCCAACAAATCTTCTTCCCCAACGTTCTTAACTGTTCTTCCCCAACGACTATTATCTTCCATTTCTCCTTTCCTGACTTGCAATCGAACAATGGTGGTTTGTTTTTGTGGAAAGCTTGCTTTGGTGAAAACGTCTTGGACACCACTGAATCCCGGCAGGAGGTTTTATGCTTGCCCTACTAAGGATTCTGTTTGTGGGTTTATCGGGTGGGTTGACCCACCTATTTGTGCTAGGAGTAAAACCATCATACCTGGTCTTCTAAGAAACATAAATACATTGGAGGAAAGATGTAATGGGCTGGTAAGAAGTATCAACATGTTACAGGAACAGTGCAATGGACTTTTGAGCAGGAACAACATGTTGGAGGCAAGGTGTGATGCATTGAAGGATGAAGGTTTCAAGCTGAAGATGTATTTATGTGCAAGTTGGTTTATGTTTGTGATTGTTATCTTTAGTACTTGGTCTATGTAAGGGATAGGGTTAGGCAAATGTGGGGATTTTTGTTGATCAAGTGATGCAGGGTAAAAATGGTATAATTTTGTTGTAATTTGACTTCATCATGTTTGTAATGAATTCCAAAATGTGTATCAGTTGTGTTCAAAATGTGTATCAGTTGTCAGATATAAGCACATAAATAGAACCAAAATGTAACAAAAGTACATTACCAAAATACATGTCATAAATTTACCAAAATGAACATTCCATTAACCACATGAGTGGAACCAAAAACCATTACCAAGTTAAGCATACAAGTGTCTGTGCACCATACATAACCACATCATCAAACCATAACTAAAGTTTTCAAAAACAAACAGTTTTTAACAACAAGAAACTAAATAGTCATTGCACCACAACAAATAACCACAATCACTTCTTAGATTGATTCCCTCCTTGCCCTTTACAGGTCCTAGAGTTGTGTCCTTTATTCTTGCATTTGCTACAAGTAACACTAACATGTTTCCTTGATAGCTTCTGCACTCCATCATTTCTTGGCCCTTGGGAATTTTCTCCTTGCATCTCATTGACTCCATCACCTGCACTTGCCTTCTGCCTTTTGCTTAACCTTTCACCCTCACTTTGTCTTCTTTTTTTCTTAGGCCTTCCCACCTGAGTGTGATGTGGAGGAGGGATTAGCTTTGTTGGACAATTACTTTTAGGCCACATGGGTCTCCCTTTAATTGGTTCCACCTTAAATGAATAAGCTTTTTGCCATGTCTCTAGCCAATACACCTTGTGTACCCACTTGTAAATGTCAAGCTCAGCCTCAGGGTCTTTGCTCATTTCATTCAGAGTTGCAATTGCATGCCTGCAAGGTATTCCCATTAATTCCCACTTTCTGCAAGTACAGGTTTGGTTCCTAACATCCACCACATGTTGATCTTGCAATGCTGCAGTGACTTGATACTTGTTTGCCCCATTCCACCTAGCAATATATTGTGAAGCACTTTTTTCCTTGCATCTAGGATGTCTGTTGCTGTAGGTGTTAGTGGACCTTTAGCCTTCTTCATTGCCTTCATGACATTGCATATCCTCTTCATTAGATACTCCCTAATGAACTCTAAACATGAAATTACAGGTTTGTCCCTGCCTTTCTCTATCTTCCCATTAAACACTTCACACATGTTTGAAATCAACACATCAGAAACAGCTCTTCCTGCACATTACAATAACATACAATTAATGCTGATAAATAACTGAAACACATAATCTTTACCATATGCAAACATATACAATTACCTGAGAAATGACTCCTTGCCCAATGTACAGGAGGAATTTGCTTCAACCATTGACATGCCTCCTTATCATACTCACTAAACTCTTTCATCAAATGTTCAAACTCAGGAATGGTGGTTGCTGATGCACACCTCCATAAATGGTCCCTGTACTCAGTTTGCCCCCACTTCTTTCTCATATTGTCATGAATATGTCTAATACAATACCTATGCTCAGCATTGGGAAACAATTGATCAACTGCAATTTGTAATCCCTACATGACTCAACATACAATAATTAGAATTAATTTCTTGGTAAAAAAACACAATCTAAATGATCAATTGATGAGTTTTAATTTACCTTTTGCCTGTCACTTATGAAAGTATAGTTTGAGTTGCTCCCAAGCTCCAAGTCATCCCCAAGGTTTTCTAAAAACCACTTCCAGCTAGCTGTGTTTTCAGACTCAACAATTGCATAGGCTAAGGGATAAATTCCATTGTTGGAATCTAGACCAACTGCTGTAAGAACCTGACCAGGGAATGGGCCTTTCATGAAGGCACCATCCAAACCTACTAAGTCTCTAAGACATGCTTTGAAACCTTTTTTCAGTGGACCCAAGCATACATAAATCCTTCTAAACTGCCTTGTTGGGGATGCAGGGTTGCCATTAGGACACACATCTATTTTGACTGTTGTGTCTGGGTTTGTAGCTTGAAGTTCAAGAGCATAGTCCCTCAACAACTCAAACTGTTTTGTGTAGTCCCCAGTTACATGCTTTCTTGCCATATCTTTTGCCCTAAACACCTTATCCATTGAAATACCCACCTGGTAGGTCTTTTGAAAGTGATCTTGTATGGCTCTCAAAGGAATCTTCGGATCTGCCTCAACTTGATCTATGATTTTCTTGCAGATTAAAGAAGCAGTACAAGCTCTGAGTTTTCTTGTTTGTAAGCATGTATGAGTTTGGTTTAAGGTCCTTATAAACCAATCAGATTCGGGGTTTGACCTAGATGCATGTATATACCAACCACATGTTTCTTTTTGTGTCTTTACTTCTTTGCCCTTGCTTTTTGAAGTGGTAGGTTTAGTCCCCACTTGACCTTTATTGATGACAGGTACAACTCCTCTGCACTGTGCCCTAAGCCTTTGACTGTCATTTTTTTTAAAGAATAGATTCCTTCTTGTTTCTAGTGCGTGCACATCAATTAACTCCTTTAATTCTTTTTTACTTTTAAACTTTTGCCCCACTGAGAATGACTGTATATGTACTGACCCAAAGTTGCACCTTTTTTCTTTTCCCAAATTTCTTATGAGAGCTCTTCTTTCTCTGTCTTGGTCTGATCCTTCATCCAATGATTCGAACTCCTCATTGTTGATCACTTCCATATCTTCAGGTTCATGACCATCATTAATACATGCTCCTTCAACATCACTTTCAACATTTACAAAGAAGTCTGCCATGTCCACATCAACATCTTCTATATTGTTCTCCTCATCCATTATGTCATCCACTTTATCTTCATTTTCTGATTGTTTCCCATCATGATCATCACCTTCATCCTTTTCATACTCTTCATCACTCTCTTCAGATTCAACATCCCCTTCATACTCTTCAACATACTCATCACTTCCATTTAAATTTTCCATAAGGTTGTCAAAAAGTTCATTATATTGTTCATCATCATTAATGGGTGGGGTGTTGTAGCATCATCAATATGGTCATTATCATGAACCCCAATCATCTCATCCCCTACATTAGCAATATTTGAAGTAAATGGATTGTAGCATCCTTCAACAACAGTTGCAGCCTCATGAATCTCCTTAACACCCTCATTAGTGTTTTCCTTCTCTTTTAAATCATCAATATCCTCTAAATTAAGCCTCTTGCTACAAGAACCTTCCTCTCTTTTTGAATTCCCAACTCTACCCCTTCTATACTCTGGAGAGAATGCATCAGTTTTACTCCCAAAAAGAATCAAAGACATGTACTCACCAATTGGTTCATCATTGACATGGTTCATATTTCTCAATGGAGATTCTACATGAACTTCAGCCTCATATTTAGCCCCTTGATCATCATTTTCTGGTAATTCCTCAATGACAACTTTACCCTTTGCATTTGGAGACATGAAGTATGTGAGTAGATTTGTCTTCCCATGTTCTGTGTACACTTCAATCAACTTGTTATTTTGAATAAATTTAGAAAGATTGATAACATCCTGATCATTCCCTAAAGCTCTAAGACCAAATTGAAAGTCACCATTGGGTATCCTGAAATGGTAGTATATCACTGGGGATTCAACACTCAATTCAATCATCCGTGGGTCTGGGTAACCTAGGTCAAGCATTATGGCATCAAGTTCATGTACAGAAAACTCATCTATGTCCACATAATCAACATAACGCACTTCACCTCCAGTATACTTTATGTCAGGTAACTTAGTAAACTTCCCACCATGATGAAGCTTAATACTAAACCATGTGGGTGCACCCGCTACAAGTCAAAATTGTACATGATAACAAAGTCAAAATTTGGCGGATTTTAGTATAAATCAAGGGTAAAATGAAAAATAGGAATGTTTAAGAAAACAGAGCAACTTACCATATAAGGATGATACGTCGACAACTTCATTTTTTGGTCTGATCTGCCACATTACGTACACCATTTCGACTTTAAAGTATGACCTTGTCTCCTTTTGCTTCGATTAGGTTCTTTCGATAACGACTTTTTTTTTTGCAGGTTTAATGGAGCAGAAGGAAGAAGGAGGGAGGTGGGGAGTTGACGGGTGTTTGGGATTGTAAATGAGGGATAAAAGGTAGAAGGAAGTGTTGTCCCTATAAGTAAAAGGACAGAAATACCCTCACGTGCAAGGCACATGAGGGGGTTAACGGATGGAATTTAACGGGTGTTAAGTATAGGGACCATTCTCACAAACACACCAGTCCAAAAGGACCACAAAACCAAAAAACTCGTGGTTTGGACTTTTTTCCTGAAAAAATGCAAACCACAGGGACCATTTTTGCAATTTTGTCAAATTTATATTTAGGCTTCAAGGAATACCATTTTCATACCATGCAGAATGAAGATTTAGGGCTTTCACCCCCATATCCTAGATGCAGTTTAGGTGCGGTGTAAACACACATTCTGTTTACTCATCCAATGGACCAACAACTCTCAATGCAACGATGAACAATTTAATTTTGTTGAATAATTTTTTTTGACTAACAGCTTCAACATAGTTTTATTGTTTTATTTTGGTAAGTGTGATTAGGCCTGAGAATTGAGTTGGGTTCGGGTTGGTGGGTCACTGGTTGACGGTTTGATAGGTCACAAAACATAAGGTCAACTCAACTCATAAAATATATGCGTTGGCGGGTCACGGGTTGGTGGGTTGGAAACTTCAACCTAACCCAACCCATCTAACCCGTTTAATTATATGGGTTTGCGGGCTGAAAAGTAAATGGATCAAACCCAACCCATATAACCTATTTAATAAATAAGTGACGCATTTTTAAAAGTCTGATTTTTTTCAACATAAAGTCATGAAGTCATGAAGTGATTAAACTAATTAACATAAAAAAAAGGTTTTCAACATATGTTCATAAAATCATTAACATCCAAATAAAATTGAAAAATAAAAACATTCATATAAAGTGGATTCGTTCTTTGTTCATAACTCGTGAATATCTAGAAATGACATGTATTTTTCTTTTTTTGATTAGGTCACTGCAAACGTGGACTAACCACATACGAATACGGAAGGAAATCCGATTTTTTCACTAATATTATAATATTATTTTTGTATATTAAAATTTTAAATCATAGTATTTTTAATCATAACGATATTAGACATTATACATTTTTGGATCAGATTAATTTGGTTCATCTTAATTTGTATTATTTTAATTTGTATCATGATATATTGAATTAAATAAAGTTTTTCTTCAATACAATATTTGAATCATTATTCGAATATTCAAATGTTGTATAGGGTTTATGTTTGTATGTACCATATATATATATATATATATATATATATATATATATATATATATATATATATATATATATATATATATATATATATATATATATATATATATCACTGTTGTAGAAATCCCGACTAGGTCCCGATTAATCCCTAGGCGTTACTCGACCGATTAAAGGGCGCCTAGCGATTAATCGCTGCATACATAATGACGGAAGCATTATAAAACGATGAAATTTTAACATTTTTAAGACGTTTTATCTCTATGGAAACTATTTGAGGCATGATTAGTGTTGTATTAATCATATTAACCTATTTTGTTATCATATTAGTAGTATTTACGAAATTTGATATGATATTAGTCATATTTAATTTTTTAAAATTCAACAAATTAGCAATTAATGGTATCCGATTAATCCCCCCGATTAATCTCCGTCTAGCCGATTAATCGCTTGACCCCAGTCCACCGACTAGCTAACGCCGAACGTTTTTGGCCCGATACTAATCGGCAGAATAAACAAATCGTCGTGTCGCATCGCGCGGGTATCCCACTAGTAAATGTGTATTGTTGTTTTGGTTTAAAAATGAAAATATGTTGTTCTTTTGTTTTAAAATTAAATTTATATTATTGTTTTGGTTTAAAAATATAGGCAAACGGGAGGATGGTTGGGATAATGATTTTAAAGATGATAAAATTTATATTTGATCATGTTTTTTTAATGCGCCCCTAAACCAAATTGTGTACGTAGGTCTGCTTCTCACCACACCTCTTTTCGTTTTGTTGCTGGGTGGTGACAAATTGTCTCTTTCAATGAATGGTTCCCAATCACCCAATGGCCATTAGTTTTCTATCCACATGATATTTTCAGTTAAAATAGAAACAAGTTTCATTTTGAAGTAAAAATCAAAATGTCATAATTTCCATTATAATATAAAAATATATTATAATGATAGATATGAAAAAAGCACAAGATTATTTTGGATCCTATTTTGTATTTTTCCTTTTCATGAAAAAAAAATCAATAATCAAAATAACACATAACACATTATTTAATTATTATAATAATATTTTATTAAAATTTATTGTTAGGCTATAAGGAATACCAGCTTCATACCATGCAGAATGAAGATTTTGGCTTTCACCCGCCATATCCTAGATGCAGTTTAGGTGCCGTGTAAACACACACATTCTGTTTACTCATCCAATGGAGCAACAACTCTCAATGCAACGATGAACAATTTAATTTTTTTGAATAATTTTTTTCGACTAACAGCTTCAACATAGTTTTATTGTTTTATTTTGGTAAGTGTGATTATGCCTGAAAATTGAGTTGGGTTCGGGTTGGCAGGTCACGGGTTAACGGGTTGACGGGTCACAAAACATAACCTCAACTCAACTCATAAAATATATGCATCGACGGGTCACGGGTTGGTGGGTTGGAAACTTCAACCTAACCCAACCCATATAACCCGTCTAAGTATATGGGTTTGCAGGTTGAAAAGTAAATGGATCGAACCCAACCCATATAACCTATTTAATAAATAAGTGACGCATTTTTGAAAATGTGATTTTTTTCAACATAAAGTCATGAAGTGATTAAACTAATTAACATAAAAAAAAGGTTTTCAACATATGTTTATAAAATCATTAACATCCAAATAAAATTGAAAAATGAAAACATTCATATAAAGTGGATGCGTTCTTTGTTCGTAACTCGTGAATATCTGGAAATGATATGTATTTTTCTTTTTTGATTAGGCCACTGCAAACGTGGACTAACCATATACGAATACGGAAGGAAATCAGATTTTTTCACTAATATTATAATATATCCATTTTTTATATTATATATATATATATATATATATATATATATATATATATATATATATATATATATATATATATATATATATATATATATATATATACGAGTTGGCGGGTTGACCCACGAACCCAAATAGGTAACCCAACCCAACCCATGAAATAAACGGATTAGTGTGTTGGCGAGTTGACGGGTCAAAAATCTCAACACAAACCCGTCTATTTTCGGGTTGGGTCAGTATCGAGTTACGGGTTGGATTAAAAATTGTCACCACTAAGTATGATAGTGGAATGAATTTTATAGTTTCGAGTTAAAAACAATTATGTGGTACAATTTTAATTAACATAAAACTTTCTAACCAACACAATAAAAGTAAATTAATATTTTAATTATGAAAATAAAAATATTGTGTATAAGATAAAAGTGGATAAGACAAGACAAAAAGAAAAAATAAGTTTTTTTTTTTTTTTTATGCAAAATGACTTTTTTTTTTTTTTTTTTTTATTTTTTTTTTATTTTTATCTTATGTTATAGAATCTTTAACAAAAGAATTTCATATACAAAAAATTATATATATATATATATATATATATATATATATATATATATATATATATATATATATATATATAATGAATCTTTCACCACAAAACTTCAAAAATGGTCCCTGTGGTTTTCGAAAATCTGAAGTTTGGTCCCTAATTTACAAAAACCTCACAGATGATCCCTTTGGTTTCAAAACTTTTAATAAATGGTCCTTTTCGATAACTCTGTTAGTTTTTTGCTGGTAAGTGAAGGACAATTCCGTTATTTCATTATTACAAGGACCATTTTAGATTTTTTAAAAAAAAAAATTAAAAAATAATTATTTTAATATATGATGATTATCTCTCTCTCTCTCTCTCTCTCTCACTCAAACGACATTTTCATTTGTTATCACCTTCTCATCTGTTCACCGATTGACAAAGGTGATTGGAATCAAGACAAAGCATATACATCTCCATAGATTGTTTCAGTCGATTTTTTTGGGTTTGATTTAGGTTTGGGTTAAATCATCTCCATCTTCATAGATTTTTCTGGGTATTAAAGGCGACTGGAATCAATTATAGTTCATCAGATTTTAGTTTTGATTACATCTTGAAGGTCATCAGACTTCATTCTTCCTGTTATTGCCATTAATTTGAAGATTTTTAGGTATGTTTCTCGTTCAATTTGAGCAAAACGATTGACCACCATCCTGGAAAGAGAACGCATTAGGCGGGAGGAGGAAACTTTGAAATCGATTCTTGTATAGAGACGATTGAGTCTTTAAATAACCCAAAGGAACTCCTAAAAAATTGATTAATGGTTGGCTTCTTCTTCTTCATGGCTTCTTGGATCATAAAGGAGCTTCGGTACTGACCTAAGAGAACCCATTTTTATATAGTATACTAGGGTTGTGCTCTAACAAATTACAATTTATCTATTTGTAGCTCGAAGATCTAGTCTCATTCAACCATTCTGATATTGATTTTGAAGTGAAATCAGGTGATAGAATAGGACAGTTGATTATTGAGAAGATAATCACACTTGAAGTCGTTGAGATCGAAAATATTGGTTCAACTGTAAGAGGTGCATGTGGAATTGGATCAACTAGGCATTTGATTTCTTATTTTTGACATTAATCATAGCCAACATCACTTTCTAGTTCTTCTTCCTTAGAGATCGTACAGGTTTCATTTTGTGTTATCAGAAAGAACACAACATGTTTCTGAAACAAGTTTAAAAGCTTCATCTGCTCCCATGGTTGTGATCTTATCATGTTGAAGAAGAACAACCATTTTCTTGTATTGTTTCTTGAGCGATGATTTTTATGAAGAAGGGTTTAATCCAAGAATTGAATTTAAGTTGATTTCACATTATTTTTGTTTGACAGTTGCTGTATATATTTCATAACTTCCATCATTTGTGAAATGCCCTCGAGTTGTGGGCATATTGTTGGAGCTTTTACGGCATAATGTTCTGCATCAATGAAGTTTTATATTGTAAATAGCTTTTTTGTGTTCTCTTTTTCCATAAGAGCTTCTTCTATGTAAGATTACATATGAAAATGACGAACTCTTTATGGTTGCTTACAAGAAATCTACATTTCGGAAATAACCTCCAGTTGTGGGCATATTGCTTGAGCTTCTTTTTTTTTCCCTGATGAGAGAGAGAGAGAGAAAGAGAGAGAGAAAGACGGTGACATCCCAGGTGGTGAGCTTTAGCGGAACAGACCGA